AAGTGTAACACCCCTTTACTACATGTGTAACCCCCTTTATGACAGTGTCAAAATACTTTGGGCTGCATGTATAATCATTAGTCTTTTTAATAAAGAAGATAAATAAAGAAAAATAGTCAATTAATGATTGTCATATCACATCAATAAAAAAATTTGTTTGAATGAATTCTACATTCAAGGATATGTTTTACAAATCTTTGTTTTTCTCTGATTGACATCAAACAAGGCAAATAATTCCACCTTATGTTGGAACATTATAAAAAATCACCAGTTCACATATTTTTCAGGCAAAAAACAAATCCTTCAATAATCATTGTTAAAACAAAATTTAAAAAAAAATAATCAATAAATATTTATAATATTTTCATTCGCAATTACATTTAAAACAATGCTTACTTTCAACTGTGAACTGTTAATTGAATTCTTGCTTGGTTTCTTACTTTTCTATAAAACTTACAAAAATCAACTTTATTATAAGTCAAAAAATCAATCAAATAATCAATAAAATAGAAAAGCCAATTCGAAAATAAAATAAACAAACTTACTGGCAATAAAAATATTCACAAGTGATCAAAAATCCATGAAGGATTTCAAGCAATTATTTGGTAAAAAGATTGGATTGAATCCAAATTTTTCATTCAGCAAAATGGCTATTGAAATTCTTAAACTACTTGCAGAGGGAAAAGGTGTTGCTGCTTCCACAATGAAAAACTTCTACCAATGAAAAACAAATCCTAGAAGAATAACGATAAAAGCAATTCAACAGTGGGTTAACAGATAAAAGAAGTAAGAGGTGGAGAGTGAAGATTATGGAAGATAATAAAAACAATAAAAATATAAATATTGGTAATAATAGTGAAGGTTAAATTTTTGTCAGAGTGCCAAAAGAATAGGTAATACTCACAATGGCTTTGGGTCCAAGTATTTTCCTCCCATGCAAGTACTCTGTCAATTTTTAACTTATATTTTTCTATTGTTAGTTGAATTAAAATAAAAACAATTTTCTTTTTGTCATTTAAGGGTAGGGTAAATCATGTGATTATGATCATAGTAATCTGTGGCTCAAAATTTTTGACTGCCGGTTTCTGAAATTGATCATGAAAATTTCCTAATAACAAATAATAATAAAAATATAACGATTTATTATTATATATATTTTACAAAAAAATAATAACATTAAATTTTTCTCTTCTACTGTTAAATTGCCATTAAATATATCCACTTCACAATTGTTAATTTTATTCACAACATGTGTCTTAAGTTCTTCACAAATTCTGCACAATATATTATAGATCATCCAATGATATTTTCACCAATTTTTTCAATCACTTGATCATAATTAATTTCTTTTTTTGATTTTTTTTTTTATGAACATTCAGAAAAATGTTGGGCGAGTAAATGATATAGATTCCATGTCTATAGGAGTTTTTATCTACAGGATATATGAGCTATATAAATCTTGATGTGCTTCCATGGTGTTCAGTTGATATGAATCATCACAAACAAAAATATTTTGATCTTTTTGATAAAATAATTTATAATTAATATTATTTTCTGTTAATGATTTATACCAATTTTTCATTTTCAAATGCTAAATATAAAAAATATTTTATTAATAAGATAGTTTTACTAAACAATAAGAAGCTATCATTAAGCTGGTGAAAAATTTGCTTTAAATTAATTAAAATTATTTATTTATTTCAGAAAGAGTAATTTTTACTATACATTGTATACTTTGGTTATGGGATTGGCAACTTTTTTTGAAGAATTAAGAATTTATAAATCTTTACTAATTAATTTTGTTTGAAATTTTCCAAAAAATTTAAAAGGATTTTGTATTTACATGCAACAAAATTTCGAAGATGTTTAAACATGCTTTGCGTAACTCTATGTAACATGCATAAATTTGGATTTTTGAGCCCGGATCTACATATAATTTGGCACGTGATTTCCCCTACCCTTAAGGGAAGTTTGATTTTATTGGATGATTTTACCAAAATTAGAAAATTTAGGGAAAATCAAGATTTATTGAACATGTAACGTTGATCACAGCTAGTGTTTCATGTCACAATCCAAAAAAGGAAACAAAATGGTTGTAAAGGTGGTAGCAACCATCATTAAAAGTTGCAGCAGGTATCCTTAATCACAGCAAACAAAAAATTTAATGTCTATTCCTATATTACCATTACTACCACCACTGTCATATCATTCTTGTTCTATTGCTATTGTTATTACTACTGCCACTACTGCTTTTAATGTGCCATTATTATATTTGATCCCATTACATTAGAGAAAGTTAAATCTTTCAAGAAATTTGCATAAATGTTCTATTTATAAATTGATTATCCCTTAAATTCATCAAACCCCCCAGACTAAAAAATATAATAATCAATTATAGAAAAAAAAAGTAATTTATGCCTATTAACTTATTTTGGTTTAAAAAAACTTTTTTGTGAAACTTTTGTTAGTAGCAACGTAAACGCATTTTTAAAATGCAAAAAATTTAATCAATTTTTGGAGTCACCATTATCCGGAAAATTTACCACATCGATGTCACATGAATAAGCATTAAATATGTGATGAAGCATGTTACAATTAATAAGTTTACTTATAACAAAAAAGCCACTTTGTAAATACAACTTCTGATTTTTATATATGGTAAAAATTTTCATACAAGAGTAAATAAAAAAAAAAATAAAAAAAAAAAATAATATTAATGATTATTCTACAATGTGATATCTTAAGAAACAATTTCTATCTCTTCTACTACATTTGTTTCATCAAGGTTATTGATCAATTCTTGTGATCTTCTAGAAATATTGGCAATATAATAGCCTGCCTGACTCATCATCCAATTCATCATTTTCATGTTGAAACATCTTGAAAATATTTTGTTCAATTGAGCTCATTGTAAATTTTTAATTAAAAATAAAATTAATTGTTTAAAATTTTTTTTTCTTGTTTTCGTTATTTTAAAAATCTTGAGGGAAATCAAAAAAATTAATGTAAAAAGCCAGTTTATGATGGATTTTATATTTGAATTTGGTATTATTGTGTATATTAGAGTTAAAGACATGCAATTTATAGACATGCAATTTATAATCATACAATTTAAAGTCTTATGATTTAAAGTCATGTAATTTTAAGTTTTTTTTTATTTACTAAGTATATTGAACTTGTGTTATTTTACTAAAAAAAAACAGAAAGTTTTATTAGTGAAAGAAAGAGAAACAGGGCTTCGGATAATATGTTAGTTCTTTTCAGAAATTCACTCTAAAGAATATTTTTGGAAAAGTGCATAAATGACTATATATTTAGGTTTTACAAGCTTATAGAAATGGTTTTCACAATCATTTTTTCGCTTAGTAAATATAATGCTCAGAGTTAAGATGAAGAACTTTTATTTGTGAAAAAAAAGTGGAATGTCAATTCCGTCCATATATGGATGGAATTTCATTTAAGGGATAGTAATGATATTTAATATTAGCTAGGGGTATGGGGGGACAACTCAAAGTTACACATATAGATATTTGCCGATCTTCCAATTCCAAAACTGTCACC